CGGCGGGGCCGGGGGGGGGGGGTGTTGGGGGGTGGGGAGTAAGGAAGGGAGAGAAGGGGTGGGGAGTTGGGCTGCTGCGACGCCTCCCTGTCGTTCTGGCTGCACTAATGCGGGGCACCGAAGCAGGTGTCCGGACTGCGGTGCTGGCTACCACGCCGCCAGGGAATACCGTCCAGCCCCTCCCTGCGCTTCGGCTCCGGAATCCCTCCCTCTTCTGTCCAAGCTGCCGTCAAACTTTACTCAACTTGTTGTCCTGAGGTCTCAGGTGCTGGAGGCCGAAAGACGCTAATGCCCTGACACCGGGCTCTCCAGCTCCAGTCCGAAGTTTAAGTTCCCTGTCGCTCGCGTCTTCTTCCTGCATCCATCCACAGCGCCAGGTCTCGGAGGGTTCCTCTGGGGAAAAGATCCCGCTTAGGAGCGGGGAAAGGGCCGCTCGACTCGGGGCGACCGGAGAATGAGGGCGTCTGCTCCCCCTCCCGACCGAGCGGGCGGCCGGCGTCAGCACCGCGGACAGCGCATCGGTGCCGCAGCCGCCGGGCGGGCGGCTCTGGGGCTGTGGGGACCCGCGGCGCTGGACGAGCCGGTCACCCTACTGCGCTGTGCTTCCCCAAACCCCCGGTTTCCCTTTCTACCTCCCTTGTTTCCCCTCAACCCCTAAGGCAGGTGCGGTCGCGGAAGCGGAGAGCTGACAGGGAGGGAACGCTGCGGAATAGAGACGGGGGAGGAGTCAAGAGCGAGTAAAGGACCCAGGTGCCACGGGAGGAGGAGGCCTTCGGGCCCACCGGCTGCTGGATCTCCCTTCGTCACCCCAACCCTCTGACCCTCCGGTCCAGGGCGGGGAACGCTGGATAAGAACCTGGCTGCGGCAGGGTGGGTAGAGGAGGTGCAGGGAGAGCCCACTAGCCGGCTCCCCCGAGGCCGGCGGCGGGAAGCCTGGGTTCTTGAGCGCTGAGGAGGGTGTGTGTGGGGGGGTACATCGTCGCCCCCTCCGCCGCGTGGCAACAGGGAAACACGGCGGGGGGCTCGGCCCCAGCGCGGGAGCTTCTCCGCCCTCCGCGGGCCGCCTTTGCCGGGATCTCTTAAGTTCTATGTCGAGGAACGTCCTTGGTACAGACAGAAAACCGTCCTCTTCTGGCAGCCAGCCCCTTCTCCGTCCGTCCCGCTTCCACAGGAGAGGGGGACCCTGATGATGATGAGACGACACAGATAACAGAAAATGAAGATAATTATGGAGGCTGTGCTTAGCTACCCTAGGTGGGTGAACCGTGACTAAATACAGAACTAGCCCCCCACCCCGAGTCTCGGGCGGTCTGGTCTCCACAGCAGAAAACACTCAAGCTAAGGCCGACCCAAAGTAGTGGCATTGTCAGTCCCCTAAGCGTCAAGGGACTCAAAGTCGTCCACAGGCAGGGGGTAGGGGTGGGGTTTGGGCAAGAGAGCTATCCAGAAGCTGAAAGGCATCTGACTCCAGATGTTGCTTTACCCAAACCAGGGCACATCGGAGGCTTGGATCTTCCTAGGAGTTCTCCACCAGTTTATGGACGGAGCCAACTATACTCCCCTTTGTGTTAGGGGAGGGGCCAATGGGAGAGGATCCACCACTAGCATAGTCAGAACCAGCCTTACTGGTACTGGATGGCATGTGGTTAACTTCGCAGCGGCCTTCTGAGAAAGGGGCAAGGGGAACCTTTGTGTGAGGGGGAGAACATCTCACCTACTGAGAATATAGAGCCCTCTCCTTTTTCTGGAGCACAGTGGGAGCCTTATGTAAACGCATTGTTGCCATTGCAGACTATTGTTACTATTGGCAAAATGCACTTCAACTACTCTCTTCAAGCCTTTGCCTCCCCTGGGTTCACCACTGGTGTCACCCCAGCCTGTTCCCCCATCCCTACCATACCCCCATCTCTACAAGCTTCTGCAGGCAGGGAGGACAGCCTAGCTGTGGGCCTCCAGGGCTGGATTCCACTTGACTGGTCAGCTCTGACAGAAGTGTCACTCCAGGAGTTGGCCCTGGAGTCTCCAGATGCAGCTGAAGGGCACTGCCAGATCTCTCAGTGGTTTCCTTTGCCCAGACTCCCAGGTCAGGGACAGAGTGCTTTGCTGCAGTGTTCCGTGCCTCTGGACCTGCTCCTTGCCCAGCTGGCAAAGGGCCTGCCTTGTCCTCCAGCTTGTTATTCTAGCTTGATTAGTAGCAAACCCCTGGCATCAATCTCAACTGTGAATGACCTAATCAATTTATATAATAGGGAAATGATCAGTTCCCTGAACATAGGCTCGGGTCCTTTGGGGAACCAGTGCCATGATGAATGCTGTGGTTTTGCCCACTGAATCCATATAAGTCACTGGCTTCCAGCTGGCTACCCTCAAAGCTTTTACCTCAGCCCTGAATTGCTGCAACAGCCTCCAAAGAATGGGGGCTTGCTATCACAGATGTGTCCGTGCTTCGGTCTGTCCTGCCTGCACCTGCCCATCATTGCCCTGATCATGTCCATTTGATCTGATCGTGTGACTGACGTCCGTAGACGAAAGTCTCCAGTGGTTCCTTCAAAACTATAAAAATTTAGCCTCAAACACTTGTGGCTGATATTCAAAGCCCTTGATGATGTGATTCCCAACAAATCATTCTAACCTCACCTTCTACTACTTGCTACTTATCCCGCAAGTACTCCGTACTCAGCCCAATCACCAGCACTTTGCTTATGCTATGACCCTGCTTGAGTGTCTTCCTTCTCTTCTTCTCCAGCTCTTCATACATGCAGCTCAACTCAGGTTAGACCTTTTTTCTTCCAGAAAACTTTTTCTTTGTAGGATATTTTGACCCAGTCACTTTGACTGCCATCATATTTCAGCTGTAGATCATTTGATTCTGAATGTCCTCAAGCACTTCAGACAAGACACCGGAGCAGGTACAGCCTCTCTGTGTCTCTGCCTGTCTCTGTCTCTCTCTCTGTCTTTCTGTATTTTGTAAAAGAAAACACAATGGCAGGAGTGTTAATCAGGAAAATTAGGTAAGGTCAAGTGCGATCAATTGACGATTCCACTCCTAGGTATATGTCCAAGATAAATGAAAACATACATTCATGCAAAAGCTTGTGTGTGTACGTTCATAGCAGCATTAATCATAAAAGCCAAAAAGTGGAAACAACCCCTATGTCCATCAACTGATGAACAGTTCAGTACAATGTGGTATAACCATACAATGAAATATTCAGCAATGAAAAGGAATGAATTACTGATTCATGCTACAACATGAATGAATCTTGAAAGCATTATCCGAAGTGAAAGAGGCCAGTCACAAAAGATGACATAGTGTATGACTTCATTTGTATGAAATGTCCAGCATAGGAAAATCCATAAAGACATAGTAACTTAGTGGTTGCTTAGGGCTGGGGGATTAAAGAGGAATGGGAGTGACTGCTAATGAGTATGAGATTTCTTTTGAGAGTGATAAAAAATATTCTAAAATTGATTGTGATGATTGCACAGCTCTGTGAATATAGTAAAAAGCTTCAAGTTGTACATTTTAAATGTGTGAATTGTAAAAAAAAAACAAATGCAGCTAATCTTTATTGAAAAAAATGGAAACAGAACTTATCCCAAGAAAAATAATTTCTTTAAAATAAAAAAATAGGAAAAATGGGAAACAGTTTAGCAATATGTAATGTCTTTTTTTTTTTGTCTCTTGTACCAACTTTTTATTTAAAGTCTATTTTGTCTGATATTAGAATAGCCACTCCATCTTTCGTTTGGTCACTGTTTGCATGGAATATCTTTTCCCATCCCTTCACTTTCAATGTATTTGTGTCTTTGGATGTTAAGTGAGTCTTTGGTAGACAAAACATAGTTGGATCATGAGACTCTCTGTCTTGCAACTGAACTTGTTAAGAATGCCTGTGATTGTACGTCTGCCTCTTGATATATCTCCAAATAATCAATGAATAGATATATTTATTGAGGACCTACCAGCTACAAAACAGTGTGCTATGAACTCTGTGTGTGTGGTGTGTGTGTGTGTGTGTGTGTGTGTGTGTGT